CACCTCGATATCTATAGGCTATTTGGAAGAGTTTCCATAAAAAAGCCTTTATTCAGAGCAACCAACAAATGTAAACGCCTGGAGTTTGCTAATCGCCATTGGCACTTTGATTGGAACTGGGTGCTATGGTCAGATAAGACGAAAATAGAGCTCTTTGTCCACACACACCAGTGGTGGTTTTGGCCTCAAAAGAAGGATGCATATGCAGAAAATAACCTCATACCTACTGTAAAATATGGTGGTGGAGCTTTGATGTTATGGGGATGTTTTGCTTCCACTGGTCCTGGGGCCCTTGTTAAGGTCAACAGCATCAAGAACTCTACCTAGTACCATGACATTTTAGCCAAAGACCTGGTTGCCTAAGCCAGGAGGCTGAAAGTTGGCCTCAAGTGGATCTTCTAGCAAGACAATGACCCCAAGAACACATAAAAATCCATAAAGAAATTGTTAATTTACCACAAAATCTACATTTTGCAATGGCCATCTCGGTCTCCGGACTTGAACCCCATTGAGTACCTGTGGTTTGAATTGAAGAGGGCAGTCCATAAGCGCAGACCAAAGGATATCAAGGATCTGGAAAGATTCAGTATGGAGGAATGGTCTGAGTTCTAGAAAAAGGCTAAATGCCGTTATCCTCGCAAGGGTAGGGTACACAAAGTATTGAAAACGGGTGGCAATAATTTTGACACCTATCCTTTTTAGATTTTTTTTTAAATTACTTGTTAAACAAAATATTTTTCTCTGAGCAATTGTATTATTATTAAATAATATACTTTTTTTGCATAGGCCTACAATATAGCTCAGTATTTGTATTTATTTTATGAAGTATTTTTTGCCAATAATTTTGGAGGTGACTGTAGCTAGGATATATCAGTTAGCTAACCATTTACAATAACAGTAGTTTATGAATAACCTTCAATCTAAAGTAGACATGTAAGTCAATAAACCCTATCATTGTTGTGGCTAGCTTACATAGCTAACCTTAAATCTAAAGTAGAAATTGAGAAATCTCACCTTGGCACTGTGGCATGTTATGGGCAGCTATTAATATATTAATTAATAGATAATAGAATAGAGTTAGAAGGGTGAACTGCTATTTTGAAGGGACAGGAAGTGTTGGCTGTTTATTTGGCCAATGACAGGCATTCCACATTTAACCCCACCCATATGTGAAAATCAAAATATCAAGTTGTTTTTGGTTTATAAGCAAAAACGAGATTAAAAACAAACAAAAAACTTTTCAGTTTTAAAATGTGTATCCAAAAACAAAATAACTGTCCGTTTTCTCATTCCGTGTTGCTCGGTTTAGCGTAGAAAGGGAATTATCCGCACGAACACGGACCATGGGATCACGTGGTGTAAATCTGGTCCGCCTGAGTTATTGAACGGAGAATCCGTAGTGAAACAGTGGGTGCGGAGCGCACAAATAGCCCATCAAATTGAGTTTCGCACATCTTATTATTCACAACGGTTTTTCTAGGAATTATGTTATTTTATTCGAGCGATGATTATGGATATAGCGCAAACTCATTTCTAAAAAGATTTTAATTAATTTCTAATACGACGAGGCATACATTTAACAAGGTACGTTTTTTTTTTATTGAACATAGAATTGGATAGAAGTCCAAGAGTTTGTATTTGCATTTGGAGTGTTTTAACTATTTAATGAATAGACTAATAAAACATTTTGTTAGACAATGTAAGTTTATACAACAGTTAGTGCTGGTGCAATCAAAATTATTTTCGGCCAGGAATACAGACACGGGACATTAGCCTATGCAAAGTTTACAGTGCCTTCAGAAAGTATTCACACCCCTTGACTTTTTCCACATTTTGTTATGTTCAGACTTTGTGTCACTGGCCTTCACACAATATCCCATAATGTCAAAGTGGAATTATGTTATTTGACTTTTTTTAAACAAATTAATTAAAAATGAAAAGTTGAAATGTCTTAAGTCAATAAGTATTCAACCCCTTTATTATGGCAAGCCGAAATAAGTTCAGGAGTAAAGATTTACTTAACAAGGTAATTACATAATACGTTGCATGGACTCACTCTGTGTGCAATAATAGTGTTTAACATGATTTTTGAATGACTACCTAATTTCTGTACCCCACACATACAATTATCTGTAAGGTCCCTCAGTCGAGCAGTGAATTTCAAACACAGATTCAACCACAAAGACCAGGGAGGTTTTCTAATGCCTCGCAAAGAAGGGAACCTATTGGTAGATGGGTAAAAATAAATAAAAGCAGACATTCAATATCCCTTTGAGCGTGGTGAAGTTATTAATTACACTTTGGATGGTGTATCAATATACTCGGTCACTACAACAATACAGGCATCTTTCCTAACTCAGTTACCGGAGAGAAAGGAAACAGCACTGGGATTTCACCATGAGGCCAAAAGTGACTTTAAAACAGTTACAGAGTTTAATGGCTGTGATAGGAGAAAACTGAGGATGGCAGAGTTTAACAGCTGTGATAGGAGAAAACTGAGGATGGATCAACAACATTGTAGTTACATTTTAGTAATTTTGCAGACACTCTTATCCAGAGTGAATTACAGGAGAAATTAGGGTTAAGTGCCTTGCTTAAGGGACATCAACAGATTTTTCACCTAGCCGGCTCAGGGATTAGAACCAGCAACCTTTCAGTTACTAGCACAACGCTCTTACCCACTAAGCTACCTGCCGCCCTAGTTCCTCTGCAATACTAACCTAAATGACAGAGTGAAAAGAAGGAAGCCTGTACATAATACAAATATTCCAAAATATGCATCCTGTTTGCAATAAGGCACTAAAGTAAGCCTGCTAAATATGTGACAAATAAATTAACTTAATGCCGTGAAAATAAAGCGTTATGTTTGGGGCAAATCCAAAACAACACATCACTGAGTACCACTCTTCATATGTTCAAGAATGGTGGTGGCTGCATCATGTTATGGGTATGCCTGGTTCAGTCTGCTTTCCAACAGACACTGGGAGACAAATTCACCTTTCAGCAGGACAATAACCTAAAACAGAAGGCCAAATATACACAGGAGTTGCTTACATTTTAGTCATTTAGCAGACGCTCTTATCCAGAGCAACTTACAGTTAGTGAGTGCATACATTATTATTATTATTATTTTCATACTGGCCCCCCGTGGGAATCGAACCCACAACCCTGGTGTTGCAAACACCATGCTCTACCAACTGAGCTACATCCCTGGGAAATAAAAATGAATTTAACATTATGGACTATACGTGAACTATTCATACCCCTCAAGTGCTATCAAAGAGGACAACTGAAATACCCTGTTATTACCTAGTTTTTGACTGCTGTTATAAGGTGACTGAGACAGGGTCACACATGCAGTCACATTGAGATGTCACTTCTAATCCAGTTGTAACCTCTATATTGAAGGTACCACTTTGCATCTTCCCTGGTCCTTTTGTGACCGTGTGATGGTGAACATAATTTCGCCTTTTCCTATCACAACTGCATTATAGGCTTTTTGCAATGCAAAGGGGTTGTCCTACAGTATACGAGGCTATGGCTATCAGATCTGTCACTGTTGGGTTACATGTGCTCAAAGACTGACACTATTTGCAACAGCAACCTCTGTGCCTCATACTGTATGTGTGTGATAAACTTAAAACAGTATGGAAACTGACACAGTAACTGAGATCAGTCTGAAAAAACCTCAGTCCCACCTAAATGGAAATGTTTCTGAGAGCAAAGGCCTTTCAGTTCCGTCACAGCTGCTATCTCCTGAAACCATGAGTAACCTCAGAAAACATCATTGGCTTCACTGTGGGAATTCTCCATAAACATGATCAGAGTTCTGTATGAAAGGAGTTTGGAAACCTCTTCACGCTCACATTTAATTCCAGGGGAATTCAGCGTGGCGCAGTGACCTCAGTTGATTGACAAATTAGACCTTGTTTAAAACAATTGTCATTTCAAGTGTAGATTATGCTTGCTGTATTTACTACTTCATTTATTATTATTTTTATTTTTCTTGAGCATGACGACACCCTTCTCTAACAAAATTTGAATGCTTCATTTGGTGTCCTCAAGACTCCTTTCTCCTTATCAGGCAGGGGTTGGGTGATCTCAGGGGGACATATAGAAAGTTCCAGTCCCTGAAGCATCCGACTGTTTCCTCTCTCTGGTACAGCTGACATTTAACTGTCACTGGGATAGTAGCTCCATAACACCACTGTGTCATCATGACACTGATTATATTTCCTCTGGCCCTGGTTTACAGTTTAGTGACTGTTGTTAATGGTGAAAAGGAGGATTGGTGGAAAGTCAGTTATCATGTGTTAACATGACCCCTGCAGTTGGCCAGGGTGTGTAATGTAGTCAGTATACTGTGATCCGTAGTCAGATGTCAGTGCTCACTATTGCAGATCAAATATTAATGATGATGACCAGCAGTTGTATGGGGAATGCAGTACACTTATTATTTTACTTGCTACATTGGAAATCCCAGAGTATCATGGCAGACAATACATTGCCATTTATTGTTTGACTTCAAATGTGGTTAATATTTGATGGAAAGTATCTTATTCACTGGTATTTTATGTCATGTCATTTCTGCATTTAGCATTTCCACTTTATTTACTCTTTCTTCCCTTTATCAGCATCAGTATGGCGCTCATGTGATCACTTCCTGGTTCAGTCTCAGCGCCATCTGAGTTTCACAGTGCTGAATCTTGCAACAGTGAGGGGAAGGACTTGAGAGGAGAGGGCCAGACAGGACAGCAGATACCATAACAGAAAGGAGACAGTCGTGCCCTATATGTTAAGTGAGGAGAATGCCTTAGCGTTTGGACTGCTTCTCTGATCACCAACTGTGTGGGACTTCTAAGAGGCTTCAAGGTGAAGTGGTCTCTGTGTGGAGAGCTCAGCCATAATCCCAGGCAGCGAGATAAACCCTACAGAGTAAGCGCACTGCTGCCTGGCTGCAGCTATGGACTTTGATGAGAGTGGTCCTCCCTCCTCCTCAGTGACCCCGCTGCTCTTCTCACCATGCTGAACGATGCTGCCTCTGTCATCTACATTGTGCTGGAGCTGCTGATAGCCATACTGTCCGTGCTGGGCAATGTGCTGGTCTGCTGGGCCGTCTGTCTTAACAGCAACCTGCAGAGCATCACCAACTTCTTTTTGGTGTCCCTGGCAGTGGCAGACATTGCTGTGGGAGTGCTGGGTATTCCCTTCGCCATCGTCATCAGCACGGGCTTCTGCTCCAACTTCTATGGCTGCCTCTTCATCGCTTGCTTTGTGCTGGTGCTCACCCAGAGCTCCATCTTCAGCCTGCTGGCCATTGCCATAGACCGCTACATCGCTATCAAGATACCCCTCAGGTCAGTTCAAAATTGTATGAACATAACAGAGAGTGTGCTAACCATTTTAAACATATTGCTGCTGTCGTGCTGCTTTCCTCTCCCATATACAGAGAAAGAGGTTAGACCAAGGGTGGGAAAACTACTTTATTGGGGAAATTATTATTTTAGGTTTTTTTTAAAGTCTACACTTGAATGTCTAAAACTAGCTAGAAAATATGTAGAAATGAGAATGCACCTATATATTTTAAAATGACTGCCCTTTTTCTGGCCCGCAAATTGATTTGGACTAACAAATTGGTCCCCAAAAAATTGGAGCGGCCCTCGGTTGAATTTTGAAATCCTTATGTGGCCCTCGAGCCAAAAAGTTTCCCACCCCTGGGTTAGACGTTAGGCTTTTCAAAGATTTAAATCTACCCTTTGAGGTTGTATAGGGTTTTTGATTGATTTGCATACCCAGGTTGCAGGTACATTGTATGCTTCATGCCAGTAGCACATTGCTACATTTAAAAAAGTAAATCTTAAAATCTGTGTGAGATATTTTCAGAATAGAGCAGCAGAGGACCGTGCTATTTTTAAATGAACTTTAGATTTATTTACCAAATGGCTAGTTGAGCTTTTGATTTCCTCAGTGGAACCAGATATAGTCTCCCAGGAGGCCATCTCACCCAGGACCAGTTAACTGTAATCTCCTCTTACTAATAGTTTATACAGACCATGACCCCTATTCACAACTATAAGCATGTAAAAATAAAACAGCTGTTCAGACCACTCATTTATTTTCCTAGATAAACAAATATAAATTACATTATGCCCTAAAATGTATTAATAATCAGTAATTACTTATACACTTTCTGGAAAGTATGTATAGACTGATGCTCACACACTCTCTCAACCTCACTCATACTAGCATATTTGATAGTGTGCATTACCTAAAAACAACATGCCCATCACTCCCTTTTTTTATTGCGTCCAAGATTGTTGTTCTGTTGTGTCCCTGGGATGTGTTAAGGGCGTTTGTGCATGTCTGTGTTGCTGCACGGGGTGAGGGGGGGGGGTTGCTGTTTTCTCACAGCTAACCTTTGAACTTCAACGTCTCGAGAATGTGACAGAAACGGCCCAAAAGATCAGCTGCTCTCCCACACTGACCGACAGACACTCGAAATAGACTTCCCTTCCAAATACTGACATTTTGTTTTTAAGTCTCTCTTTATAACTTAGACGAGAGTTTTTCCCATAAAAAGACAGTGTGTCTAACCACGTTTCCATCCAACCATTTCATGCAGATGAATTAGCTGACACATGAAACAAGTCACAACCGGGCTGATTAAATGCTGGTACAATTTTATATATCCCGACAGACAATTTGTTCATTCGACATGGTGGGATCTTTTTGTGTCTGTAAAATTAATTATACAAGAAAGCGGTGAAAACGCCTTTATGCGCAAATATTGATATGATAACCATCATATCGAAGTAAACTTAGAGTCACGCGATGATACACTATATATACAAAGGTATGTGGACACCCCTTCAAATTAGTGGATTTGGCTATTTCAGCCACACCCGTTGCTGACAGGTGTATAAAATCGAGCAAACAGCCATGCAATCTCCATAGACAAACATTAGCAGTAGAATGGCCTTACTGAAGAGCTCAGTGACTGTCAACATGGCACCGTCATAGGATGCCACCTTTCCAACAAGTCAGTTCGTCAAATTTCTGCCTTGCTAGAGCTGTCCCGGTCAATTGTAAGTGCTGTTATTGTGAAGTGGAAACGTCTAGGAGCAACAACAGCTCACAGACCGGGACCGCAGAGTGCTGAAGCGCATATCGCGTATCGAGTAAAAATCGTCTGTCCTCGGTTGCAACACTCACTACCCAGTTCCAAACTGCCTCTGGAAGCAACGTCAGCACAATAACTGTTCATCGGGAGCTTCATGAAATGGGTTTCCATGGCCGAGCAGCCGCACACAAGCCAAAGATCACCATGCGCAATGCCAATCGTTGCCTGGAGTGGTGTAAAGCTCTCCGCCGTTGGACTCTGGACCAATGAAAACACGTTCTCTCGAGTGATGAATCATGCTTTACCATCTGGCAGTCCGACGGACGAATCTGGGTTTGGCGGATGCCAGGAAAACGCTACCTGCCCAAATGCATAGTGCCAACTGTAAAGTTTGGTGGAGGAGAAATAATGGTCTGGGGCTGATTTCATGGTTCGGGCTAGGCCCCTTAGTTCCAGTGAAGGGAAATCTTAACGCTACTGCATACAATTACATTCTAGACGATTCTGTACTTCCAACTTTGTGGGAACAGTTTTGGGAAGGCCCTTTCCTGTTTCAGTATGACAATGCCCCCGTGCACAAAACGAGGTCCTTACAGAAATGGTTTGTCGAGATCGGTGTGGAAGAACTTGACTGGCCTGCATAGAGCCCTGACCTCAACCCCATCAAACACCTTTGGGATGAATTGGAACGTCGACTGCGAGCCAGGCCTAATCGCCCAACATCAGTGCCAACCTCACTAATGCTCTTGTGGCTGAATGGAAGCAAGTCCCCGCAGCAATCTTCCAACATCTAGTGAAAAGCCTTCCCAGAAGAGTGGAGGCTGTTATAGCAGCAAAGGGACACCAACTCCATATTAATGCCAATGATTTTGGAATTAGACGAGCAGGTGTCCACATAGTTTTGGTCATGTAGTGTATGTTGCGTGGTCCTCCCACTACGACTCAGGAAACCATGCAGTTTATTAGGCTACAGATGAAATAAATGATGATGAACTTCGCAGGGTGGTGAATGTTAAAGGTGATGAGCTTGATGCTCCTCTCCAATAAATATCAAGGGTCTTATTCTGGTGACATGATGATCGATGCTTGGCTGCCATTTGACAAATACAAATAATATTGCTCTTATCCATAATAATCTCATAATGTAGGTAGCCTACCTGCTGTATCTGTGAGCTGTTGGCTAGAGTACATATGCCAATACCAGAGTGAGCACATTTGCTATATAACGCAACAGTTTTTGTGACAAAACCATCAGTAGATTTAAAAATGCGATGGAAACCCATTTAACTTCTAATTTTCATTCGGTACATGGGAATTTAAGGGCAAAAGTTATTTTCATGTGCACCACGTCATCACGCACAACCTTTTATCTGCAAAAAGTATGTTTAATGGAAACATCTCTGGTGGGAAAATGCGCTTATTGTTTAATGCAGAGTTTAGAATATTCACATGAAAATTGGTCGCAAATTGGATGGAAACCTAGATAATGATATGCCTGCTATTATAATGTGTATTATCTAACTCACTATCCCTTAACCTCTGGGGGAATCTAACCCTCCAGAGAGACAACTTATCCTCCTCCAGCCAAGAGAGCCCATCATTTGTCTTACTGACAGAGTCCATATCTTTATTATTCCCACAGGTACAATAGCCTGGTGACAGGCCAGCGTGCCAAGGGGATCATTGCCGTCTGCTGGGTGCTGTCCATCATCATCGGCCTGACCCCAATGCTGGGCTGGAATAAGTTCACTGAGCGCCCCAACAGCACCTGCCCCCCAGGCCTGATGGAGTGCCTGTTTGAGGAGGTGGTGGTCATGGACTACATGGTCTATTTTAACTTCTTTGCCTGTGTGCTGATGCCTCTGCTGCTCATGCTGGTCATCTACCTGCGGATCTTCATGGCAGCTCGGCATCAGCTGAAGCTCATAGAACTGAAGGCTGTCCACGGGGGGAAGTCCCACTCCACCCTGCAGAAGGAGATCCATGCGGCCAAGTCGCTGGCCATCATCGTGGGCCTGTTTGCCATCTGCTGGCTACCGCTGCACATCATCAACTGCTTCACACTGTTCTGCCCTCAGTGTACCCGCCCGCCCCTCTGGATCATATACGTTGCCATCATCCTCTCTCACGGCAACTCGGTGGTCAACCCCTTCATCTACGCATACCGCATCCAGGAGTTCCGCCACACCTTCCAGAGGGTCATCCGCCGCCATGTCCTGGGCCGCCGGGAGCTGTTTGACAGCGATGGCAGCACCCGCACCTCCACCCACAACAGCATCAGCGACTCAGTAAGGGTTAACGCCAACGGCCTCCGCTTCAACCTCTACACCGAGCACAGCAGCAGTAGCTGTGAGAGCTCCCACCCGTCATAGCCATATCAAACCTGCAGGGGGCATTCTGAAGCCAGCGCCCATTCACAACCACCCTCTTACCGTGATTAGCTCCCACAATCAAAGGGAAAGCCCCCCTGTGCCACAGCCTCTCAGACAGACACATACACACCCTTTATGTCATCCCCTGCAGTATGGGGACCAGCAGCAGCAGTCTCCTAAAGGACCGGAGGTGGAAGAGATAAAGGACAGGCAGGATCTCTCCCTTGTCCAGGTCAAATCACTGTTCTATAAACATAAAACCTGCTTCACTGAGCTCATCAGACAGCTACAAAGGATCTTTATCACCTGGCCTTTGGTGTGAAATTACTGTGGATGCGCAAATTTTTTGGAGTCAGCTTAGAGTAAATTACTGGGCAGGCAGGATCACAAGCTGAGGATCAGAGTTTGGTTGTATCCCATGCTATCCAGATGGCCTAATTCCACATACTTGGAGGCATTCTATCGCCAGGGATTGTAACCGTGGTCCTGAATGAGTACGAGCCGAGGACCTACACAAAGGCAGGCATACAAAGCCTACTGTACATTCACCATGCGGAAGAGAACAACTTATTTTGGGGGCATGAACAATTGTATTTAAATTTGTTTTAGTTATTTATGGAAGAAACGTTAATGTGACTCGAATGGTTAAATGTGATTCTGTTTACGATGTTTATTCTCTTGGTCTGTGACGTGTGAGTGGTGCTTAAATCTGAATCCTCACAATTTACTTTTGCTCTTTGATAACCGGTGAGGTTTTAATGTCACGGCCGTCTACGGAAGGAGTGGACCAAAGCGCAGCGTTTGTAGCGAACATGACTTTATTAAAGTTAAAGTGCACGAACGAGAAAACAATAAACAATGACGGATAGTGAAGTCCTCAGTACACAGACTGAAACATGGAACAAAAACCCACAACCCTAAGGTGAACCCTGACAGTTTAAATATGGCTCCCAATCAGAGATAACGAGCCGACAGCTGACACTCGTTACCTCCGATTGGGAGTCACATGACGAGACAAGACACTACAACCAAAACCAAACACAACCAAATGAACACACCCTATACCCAACACAACCAAATGAATACACCCTGGCTCAAACTACACAGTCCCGGAGCCAGAGCGTGACAGTACCCCCCCCTAAAGGCGCGGACTGCGACCGCGCCTCAATACGGGCTAAACAAGGGAGGGCTGGGCGGGCATACCTCCTCGGCGGTGGCTCTGGCTCCGGCCTTGATCCCCACCCCCAAAGTACCCCTGGTCCTGTCTAGCCCCGCTGGTCGGAGCCGGACTGACGACACGCGCCCCTGGCTTGGTGCGTGGAGGACGAACGGGCCTTACCAGGCTGACGACGCGCACCACTGCCTTGGCGCGGGGAGCAGGAATGGGCCGGACCGGGCTGACGAAGCGCACCCTTGACTTGGTGCGGAGAGCGGGACCGGGCCGGACAGGGCTGACGAAACGCACCACAGACTTGGTGCGGGGAGCAGGAACGGGCCGGACAGGGCTGACGACACGCACCACAGACCTGGTGCGGGGAGCAGGAACGGGCCGGACAGGGCCGACGAAACGCACCCTTTGCCTGGTGCGTGGAGCCGGAACAGGCCTCACCAGGCTGAAGACTCGCATCCCTGGCTTGGTGCGAGTAGCAGGAATGGGCTGGATCAGGCTGACGGCTCGCACCCTTGGCTTGGTGCGAGTAGCAGGGACGAGCTGAACCAGGCTGACGACTCGCACCCTTGGCTTGGTGCGAGTAGCAGGAACGGGCTGGACTAGGCCGACGACTCGTACCCCTGGCTTGGTGCGAGTAGCAGGAACGGGCTGGACCAGGCTGACGACTCGCACCCTTGGCTTGGTGCGAGTGGCAGGAACAGGCCGGACCGGGCTGGCGACGCGCACCGTAGGTTTGGTGCGAGTGGCAGGAACAGGCCGGGTCGGGCTGGCGACGCGCACCGTAGACTTGGTGCGGGTGGCAGGAACAGGCCGGACCGGGCTGGCGACGCGCACCGTAGGTTTGGTGCGAGTGGCAGGAACAGGCCGGGTCGGGCTGGCGACGCACACCGTACACTTGGTGCGGGTGGCAGGAACAGGCCGGACCGGGCTGGCGACGCGCACCGTAGGTTTGGTGCGAGTGGCAGGAACAGGCCGGGTCGGGCTGGCGACGCGCACCGTAGACTTGGTGCGGGTGGCAGGAACAGGCCGGGCTGGGCTGGCGACGCACACCGTAGGTTTAGTGCGTGGAGCAGGAACAGGCCGGGCTGGGCTGGCGACGCACACCGTAGGTTTAGTGCGTGGAGCAGGAACAGGCCGGGCTGGGCTGGCGACGCACACCGTAGGTCTGGTACGTGGAGCAGGAACAGGCCGGACAGGGCTGTCGACGCACACCGTAGGCTTTGTGCGTGGAGCAGGAACAGGCCGGGCTGGGCTGGCGACGCACACCGTGGACTTGGTGCGTGGAGTAGGAACAGGCCGGTCCATACTGGGAACACACACCACTGGCCTTAACCGGGGATCAGGAACGGGCCGGACCGGACTGGTAACACACCTCAGTCTCTCACGCCGTGCCTCCACTACTTCCCTCCCTCTACTCGCCAATGGCTCCCGTAATCCGGTAGCCTTCTCTCCACGTCTCCCGGTGGCAGCCTCCTGCTGCCCAGCCGCCCAAGCCATGTGCCCCCCCCAAAAAACTTTTTGGGGTTGCCTCTCGTCCTTCCGACGATGGCCCTGCTGACGCCGTTGCTCCTCTCTCGCCAGGGCCTTGATCCTCCCCCAAGGTCCCTTGCCCCCGAGCATGTCCTCCCAGGACCACGATTTGCCCACCTGGGCCATCGCCAGCCTCTCGATCTCCTTACCCGGCGCTTCCTCCCATGTCCAGTCTCTTTGCTCCTGGACACGCTGCTTGGTCCTTTTGTGGTGGGTTTTTCTGTCACGGCCGTCTACGGAAGGAGTGGACCAAAGCGCAGCGTTTGTAGCGAACATGACTTTATTAAAGTTAAAGTGCACGAACGAGAAAACAATAAACAATGACGGATAGTGAAGTCCTCAGTACACAGACTGAAACATGGAACAAAAACCCACAACCCTAAGGTGAACCCTGACAGTTTAAATATGGCTCCCAATCAGAGATAACGAGCCGACAGCTGACACTCGTTACCTCCGATTGGGAGTCACATGACGAGACAAGACACTACAACCAAAACCAAACACAACCAAATGAACACACCCTATACCCAACACAACCAAATGAATACACCCTGGCTCAAACTACACAGTCCCGGAGCCAGAGCGTGACATTTAATAAATTACCTTTATGATTATTCATGTGTATTTGGGGATGGCAAGGATGTTCCAAGTTTGTGATAAGGGGACAGTACTACTGCATTGATTTAGCATGTTTGTGCACCATACAGATGGACGTTCAGGTTTATGATCTTGCAAATGTATGAATGCTCAAAAAATGATCAGCGTGTTTTTAAATTATAATGGTTTTAAACTATTTTGAGGAATATCTATACTACTCTGCACTTTCTCTACTTTGCAGTTCTTCCAACTTGTCTAACTGTCAGTAGCACACACCAAAACTGTTGTGCTGATCATTGAGATTACACAGACAATTAAATGGTAAAAATAATTAATCAATGACATAGAGCTTACATTATTCACTGAATATACTCTCAAGTATTACATAGCTATGGCATTCTCTGCATTCTCACATTTTCGAACGCTATACAGGACACAATACCTCCTGTTTGAAAATAAATATTTGTATGTTATTGTCATCTCTAAGTGTATCTGTTTGCTTTTCCATGTTGCACTGTTTACGCATTACAATTACTGTACAGCTTTCCCAACCATCAATCAATAAGTGCAGAGAAGCTCCAGAGGCAGGCTGGCTGGTGACTCTGGGGAAGGGGCAGACCAGACCAGACGGGCCCTCTATGGGATTTATGTCCCCTATCACAAGCTGTGAGATCCTCTGATTTCTCCAGCTTTCCCAGCTTTTATCCAAATTCCCTGATGATTCCAGGTTACAGGGTTACAGGGCATTCTCCTTTTGATATTCTCTCAGGGCCTTCCTGAAATGACATTTTTGTGTTTTTTAAAGATGCTTCCAGCCTAGTTCACTGGTGTTTTCTGCACAACAAAATATTGTCTCTCTCCCCCTTTCTGACATTACTAAATCAGACTTCAACAACTCACCCTTTTAGCTGTGACCATTCTGGCCAATATATCTCTCTCTCACCACTTACCTGTTTTGCGGTGTCATCCTCACCCAAATGTATTTTTAGTCCAGTGTTACTGTACTAACCTCTACTGCTGATATACGAAAAAGTATGAACATGTATGCACTCACTACTGTAAGTCGCTCTGGATAAGAGTGTCGGCTAAATGACTAAAATGTTATGTAAAATGATATACCTGTGACTGTCCTAAGTGTCCTGGGGGGTTATGTTACAGACAGATAGTTTCCTTTCTGTCATGACTCAGTGATGACCAGTGGTCCTGATACTGTACATGGTTTGCTGTACATTTGGCCATGAGAAATGGTGCTCACTGAACAAGGCTAATCTAATTCTCTCACTAAGTGGCTCTATAGTGTCTCATTCATATAGGTCATACACAGTCTTGTTTTCAATCCCAGTTAGTGGTCGGCTGACAATAAACCCCCTAAGTCATCCCCCACAGTATAGCTGTCAGACCACAGTGTTCAACAAGTAGCAGTAAAAGCTCTGTCTGTGTATTGACTCCATGGATACAAACAAGAACAGTCCCTTCACATAAAAGGCTTCCTGTCTTCTCTTCTTTTGAAAGGAAAGGAGAGAAGAGTGGGTGTCAGAGGGGTTATCAACCATGGGGGAATGTGCTTAGATAAGTGCTGTCCCTGCAACAATTCAAAACTGTTTACATGTCTGGTTAAAATTCCAAACGGATAACTTACCCTGTCAACTGTTGGTTTGCTCAGAGCAACTGCAGAAGCCATTCACAATGGCCTCTCCCTCAGTGCCAAAGCTTTGTCACTAAGTATGATTGTAGTCAACAACATTGATTTAACACCCCCTATTGTGGCACTGTGTGCTTAGCCCAAACTCATTACTTATTTTGGCTCTATGGAAGAGGCCAGTGCTTCAGCTGCTTGTAGCGACATTACAGGAGGGGGCTATAGAGGTCTGGTGAAGCATTTTGTATAGAGAGAAGGTGAAATGTTTGTCACAGTGCAGTTTGGAGGTAAGTAAAAGATGGTGCTATATCATCATCATGATTTGATTGGGCATAATTCCATAATCTCTGTGGAGGCCAACAGCTGACCTGTAATTAAATGTATGACATACAGTAATGGAAAGCTTTGTTGATATAAACGGATCATATGAGAGTAAAAACTTTAAGAAAATCATTGTGGGGATTTAGATGTGACAATCAGGTTACTTTAATGAAGTATGATGTTATAGACAGAGGATATGTACAAAAAGACTTATCTTTTATTACTTTGAAAGAGGCCCAAACAGAATTGTTTAACCTGAACTGCAGGATGATAAACTTCATCCACAGTTTGAAGGAGAGGTGTCATCTGGATCCTCAAGGTACTGTCCTGTACTTCTCCCATAGAGCAGAATAATTTACAGTTGAACTTCTGATATGTTTAATCAAATATCACATTCCTAATTCAACCTGATAGTGTGGTTACAGTATGAAAGCGTGATACAAACAGTCCTGGATATACATTAAACAGTACATTGTAGTGTGAGGTTGTATGTACAGTTGAAGTCGGAAGTTTACATACACTTAGGTTGGAGTCATTAAAACTTGTTTTTCAACCACTTCACACATTTCTTGTTAACAAACTATAGTTTTGGCAAGTCGGTTAGGACATCTACTTTGTGCATGACACAAGTAATGTTTCCAACTATTGTTTACAGACAGATTATTTCACTTATAATTCACTGTATCACAATTCCGGTGGGTCAGAAGTTTACATACACTAAGTTGACTGTGCCTTTAAACAGCTTGGAAAATTCCAGAAAATGATGTCATGGCTTTAGAAGCTTCTGATAGGCTAATTGACATCATTTGAGTCAATTGGAGGTGTACCTGTGGATGTATTTCAAGGCCTACCTTCAAACTCAGTGCCTCTTTGCTTGACATCATGGGAAAATCAAAAGAAATCAGCCAAGACCTCAGAAAATAAATTGTAGACCTCCACAAGTCTGGTTCATCCTTGGGAGCAATTTCCAAACACCTGAAGGTACCACGTTCATCTGTACAAACAATAGTACGCAAGTATAAACACCATGGGACCACGCAGCCGTCATACCGCTCAGGAAGGAGACGTGTTCTGTCTCCTAGAGATGAACGTACTTTGGTGCGAAAAGTGCAAATCAATCCCAGAACAACAGCAAAGGATCTTGTGAAGATGCTGGAGGAAACAGGTACAAAAGTATCTATATCCACAGTAAAACGAGTCCTATATCGACATAACCTGAAAGGCCGCTCAGCAAGAAAGAAGCCACTGCTCCAAAACCACCATAAAAAAGACAGACTACGGTTTACAACTGCACATGGGGACAAAGATCGTACTTTTTGGAGAAATGTCCTCTGGTCTGATGAAACAAAAATAGAACTGTTTGGCCATAATGACCATCGTTATGTTTGGAGGAAAAAGGGGAAGGCTTGCAAGTCGAAGAACACCATCCCAAACGTGAAGCACGGGGGTGGCAGCATCATGCTGTGGGGGTGCTTTGCTGCAGGAGGGACTGGTGCACTTCACAAAATAGATGGCATCATGAGGAAGGAAAATTATGTGGATATATTGAAGCAACATCTCAAGACATCAGTCAGGAAGTTAAAGCTTGGTTGCAAATGGGTCTTCCAAATGGACAATGACCCCAAGCATACTTCCAAAGTTGTGGCAAAATGGCTTAAGGACAACAAAGTCAAGGTATTGGAGTGGCCATCACAAAGCCCTGACCTCAATCCTATAGAAAATGTGTGGGCAGAACTGAAAAAGCATGTGCGAGCAAGGAGGCCTGTGGAAGGCTACCTGAAACGTTTGACCCAAGTTACACAATTTAATGGCAATGCTACCAAATACTAATTGAGTGTATGTAAACTTCTGACCCACTAGGAATATAATGAAATAAATAAAAGCTTAAATAAATAATTCTCTCTACTATTATTCTGACATTTCACATTCTTAAAATAAAGTGGTGATCCTAACTGACGTAAAACAGGGAATTTTTACTAGGATTAAATGTCAGGAATTGTGAAAAACTGAGTTTAAATGTATTTGGCTAAGGTGTATGTAAACTTCCGACTTTAACTGTATATGGTAACTCTGTCAATGACTGGAAATGATAGAAACAGTCTGCCAGATTGTTTCCTGACTGGGTAAATGTCATAATTGAATATGTAATAGACAGAGAGAGCCCAGTGTAAAGGTCACATTGAAGATGTACTCTGCAGACTGTGTGGACCTGATGGACAGGACAGGGGAGCTAGTGAACCTGAGTGACAAGGAGGAGAGCATGGAGCAGGCCAGCAGTCTGATGAAGAAGAGGCACAGCTACATTCTCATACGCATCTGCAGTGAGTCTCTCCAAATATGATGAAGGCACTAAGCTACACATGTCCATATTAAAAATCCCATGGGATCAAAGAGTGGTTTCTCACATTGCTTGCCCTACTAATATGTTATAGATAGGTTCGTTAGCATGGCTGCAATAAATGTTGTTATTACTAAAGATATTTTACAGTAATGAAACTGATTCACTTTAATTTACTTCATATTTTGCCCCCAGGAGTTGACGGGACTGAAGGGCAGAAGTATGTGCCACTCCTAAATGACCTGGGCAAGAGCCATCCTGAGTTAGCAGGTAATGACAAAAACACATTCATCCACAGCACAGGCAAATGTGCACTACTGAAACCACTGCATGAGTCTGTTCAGTTGGAGCTGAGCATGGTCTGAAGTGGTTCTTTGTGGCCTCCTAATGGTACAGACTGGAGTTATACCTGTAATATGACTCTCTTGCCTAGTTACTGTACATGTGCAGTGCACTTGCCTTGAGCAAAACCACATCAAGCCTGATTTAAGACTGCATGAAAAGGTGTGGCTAATATGTACGTTTGTATGTACTGTCTGCACCCTTGTTACTTTTGTACCATTTGTCTACCTCAGAGGTCTTGAAGAAGCTGTCCAACCCCTGTAAGGAGCGGGACAGAAAGAGTGGTCCGTCAAGGAAAGGCTCTGTTAACAAGACCTGGAGCAAGGCCACCGCTGGAAACAAGAAGAGCCATTCTGGAAAACTTTGACTATGATGAGAGGAGATGAGGAAAGGTGAACATGATGGTGATGGACATGCATGAATAAAAAGATGTGGACCACATACTAATACAGTAATTGTGTTGGTGCTGTGGTTCACTTCACTCTGATTATTTTCAACTAAGGTACATTTAGGTTGATAAATTAACATTCCAACATATCCCAACTGGTAAATGTAAGAATGTTACATGTCTGATGTGCATACTAGAGGCTGGTATAGGCCCAGAAACGTTTTGTACTCATCTAGGAATATTTTTGAGAATTAGGTTATATGGACCACTTATTAAATACATTAATCTACTTATTCATGTATTCACAATAATTCATGAAGTTGAAATAAAATACAACATTTGTTGAACAACTAATAAAGGTAGCCTATATATTTGTAGATACAGTACCTAGTCTTATACCACATAGTTTTCTATACAATACAAGCTTTGTCTATACTGTACCTGACCTGTCATAGACTTACTTCCTGTAGTCAGTGTAAAGCGTGACTCATCATCATCATGATGATACAGTGGGGAAAAAAAGTATTTAGTCAGCCACCAATTTTGCAAGTTCTCCCACTTAAAAAGATGAGAGAGGCCTGTAATTTTCATCATAGGTACACGTCAACTATGACAGACAAATTGAGAGAATAAAATCCAGAAAATCACATTGTAGGATTTTTAATGAATTTATTTGCAAATTATGGTGGAAAATAAGTATTTGGTCACCTACAAACAAGCAAGATTTCTGGCTCTCACAGACCTGTAACTTCTTCTTTAAGAGGCTCCTCTGTCCTCCACTCGTTATCTGCATTAATGGCACCTGTTTGAACTTGTTATCAGTATAAAAGGCACCTGTCCACAACCTCAAACAGTCACACTCCAAACTCCACTATGGCCAAGACCAAAGAGCTGTCAAAGGACACCAGAAACTAAGTTGTAGACCTGCACCAGGCTGGGAAGACTGAATCTGCAATAGGTAAGCAGCTTGGTTTGAAGAAATCAACTGTGGGAGCAATTATTAGGAAATGGAAGACATACAAGACCACTGATAATCTCCCTTGATCTGGGGCTCCACGCAAGATCTCACCCTGTGGGGTCAAAATGATCACAAGAACGGTGAGCAAAAATCCCAGAACCACACGGGGGGACCTAGTGAATGACCTGCAGAGACCTGGGACCAAAGTAACAAAGCCTACCATCAGTAACACACTACGCCGCCAGGAACTCAAATCCTGCAGTGCCAGACGTGTCCCCCTGCTTAAGCCAGTACATGTCCAGGCCCGTCTGAAGTTTGCTATAGTGCATTTGGATGACCCAGAAGAGGATTGGGAGAATGTCATATGGTCAGATGAAACCAAAATAGAACTTTTTGGTAAAAACTCAACTCGTCGTGTTTGGAGGACAAAGAATGCTGAGTTGCATCCAAAGAACACCATACCTACTGTGAAGCATGGGGGTGGAAACATCATGCTTTGGGGCTGTTTTTCTGCAAAGGGACCAGGACGACTGATCCGTGTAAAGGAAAGAATGAATGGGGCCATGTATCGTGAGATTTTGAGTGAAAACCTCCTTCCATCAGCAAGGGCATTGAAGATGAAACGTGGCTGGGTCTTTCAGCATGACAATGATCCCAAACACACCGCCCGGGCAACGGAGGAGTGGCTTCGTAAGAAGCATTTCAAGGTCCTGGAGTGGCCTAGCCAGTCTCCAGATCTCAACCCCATAGAAAATCTTTGGAGGGAGTTGAAAGTCCGTGTTGCCCAGCGACAGCCCCAAAACATCACTGCTCTAGAGGAGATCTGCATGGAGGAATGGGCCAAAATACCAGCAACAGTGTGTGAAAACCTTGTGAAGACTTACAGAAAACGTTTGACCTGTGTAATTGCCAACAAAGGGTATATAACAAAGTATTGAGAAACTTTTGTTATTGACCAAATACTTATTTTCCACCATAATTTGCAAATAAATTCATAAAAAATCCTACAATGTGATTTTCTGGAATTTCTTTTCTCATTTTGTATGTCATAGTTGACGTGTACCTATGATGAAAATTACAGGCCTCTCTCATCTTTTTAAGTGGGAGAACTTGCACAATTGGTGGCTGACTAAATACTATTTTCCCCCACTGTATATGACCGAGGAACATGTGATAGAATCGGACAGGTTGCATAACCGCTAAATTGCTAATACTAAGTTTATTTTGCCCAATATACGACGGGGTGGGCTTACTGGGCTATCGGGTTCACTAACAGAAGCACACGGCTTGGACAGTTGAACTTGTACAGAAGGAGCCTCACAATGTCGGGGTCTGAGTTTGAATCTTTGGAGAAGACATTGGAGTAACATATTCCAGATGAGGAACTGAAAGAAGTTAATCAAATCTTGTTTGGAAAAGAAACCAAGTGAGTTGCAGTTGAATTCTGCACTCGGCCCTATCAGGCTGCAGAAATCTTGTTGTCTGTATGTTGAGCCTGGTCTCATAGACGACATAACATAGTAAAAGTAAATCCGGGACATGTAAATTAAAATGATATGTTAAGTTTGGTAAGGTTACATAAGACAGAAGGGTACTTAAGGCAAAAACGAAAGGAGGTTGGTTGGGGTGGATGGGTGGGCGCAGTACGTAATTTGAGCCGGATCCTGCCGGGACAGGATCCTGCACCTCTCCATTTAGGACTGTTTCGTTACGGAACCCATTTGCCAGGATCTGGTACCTCGCTTGGCATGAAAAATTATTGTCACTGTTTGCAATGTAAAAATTATAATAAAAGCAATCAGAGTTAATTCAAGTTGCCTCCTCTGTAATTCTCCTGCCCCCTAAAAAACGTAATGTGAAAACGTGCCTGATATTCTAAGAATTGATTCGAGTTGGGCCGGCACGGGTTTATGGTTTGCGCAACATTGTAGCCTATAGACCAATGCGTCGCCATTGCTGTGGTGAGAGAGAGAAGCGTGCCTGTATCTCTCACAGAACTGGAATGGCATTCACTTTCTATGATCTCTGTCCCTCTCTCTGCTCTGATGGACATGAGCCTGCAACTCTCATCTCTCCAGCATTGCAGTTCATCATTTATTTTCTTATAGACTCATAGGTGCTGGATGTGCCACAGCACCCCTGATACATTTAAATATATTTGCCAAAGTTATACAATTACTGCTGTCTGTTCAGATAGAAATTAAATAATTCAGAAGACTACACCAGGAGTAGGCCTATAATTTAGCCACAGAGGATCAATAGCTTATTATTTTTTAAATAGCCTAGCTGTGGATTATGTGTAGCCCAATCACAAGGCCTGCCTACAGTTGGGAACGCGCAGCAAATCTGGCCGTGAACAGAATGCAGCCAAAACAGGCCTTTTGCAATATTTCAAATACAGTCGCGGGAAAACACAGATTGGAAAGCAAATGGCTCCTTCTGAAAAGAGAAGGATAATCTGCCTGTAGCGCAAAATAACCTGCTCAATATTCTCTGTCGAGGAAGGGGGGCTAAAGGGGGGTTTTGACAAATAAGGAGAAAGTGGGAGGGGAGGGGGGGTACAATAAGCAAGAACACACCCCTCCAAATGTAAACAATGCATAACTAAGTAGCCATGTGCTATGTTGTCCTTACACAGTCCTAGGAACCGTTAATTACAAAATAAATGTAGATTAAGCTTGAACCCCGGGCATGGTTGCTTGCAGCTATATTGTTTAAATAGTTTTGCATTATCGTGTCCAATAGGTGACTAAATTAGTAACAGTTGCCGTGTGATTGAAACTGGATACAATAAATAAATAAATTAATTAATTAATAAAAACTGCATTAGTCTGTATACACAACCCTAGCTTGAACCCCACCATGGCTGCTTGCAGCTTCATTGTTTAAATGTTTTTTCATTATGGTGTCCAACTGAGGACCACTGTAAATTAGTGATAGGTGCCTTGTGACTGAAAACTGGACATAAATGTAATTAATTAAAAACGAATTTATTAAAGTCTGCAAAGATAAATAATACTGCATATTTTCACAGGCTGCATATTTTCACAGGAGGGGAACATTGAACATTAGCTCACACCAGATGCCACACCTGTACAAAATGTGGAAAACAACACAGTGAAATAAATGACAGGATAATGTGTGCCCCACACCATCACAGTACAATTGCTCCACTGTCTGTATGTCCCCTGTATACCTACTGTGCAAGTTAAGGTGCTAGAAGATGGACTAAATTACAAGACATACAAGTTAAAGGTTAAACTGTCCCTTTGTTGTAGACAAAAATAAGATGTAATTGTATTCTATTCAACTCATGACTTTCTTTTACAGTTCATATTTCAATTTCATACATTGTCGATATATCCCTTTCCCTATTGCCCCTGCCTCACACAAATTCTTATATGTATTTATTTTCATTTAGAGGGGTCTTTTTACATATCCCTCAAACATATCCCTTTCCCAATTTGAATGTATAATAAAGTAAAATAAACCTTTACCGTGCCTCTTGTACTCATATATTTTGCACTTAAAACAGTTAAGTACATTTCAGATCACCATTAACTTTTTGAAGTTTTGAAGAGGGGGCCATAGAAATTACAGGAGTGTCTGTATAACTGTCCCTTTGTAGTAGACAATTGTAAGCATTGCTACAGATTAGTTACAAACATCAAACTTAAAACACATTTCAGCAATGTCCAAATATCTGTTCCTTTGGAATAGATAATTGTTAGCATTGGTTAGACAGGCCCACATTGAAAAAATAACCGATGTCAGGCTGGTGACTCACCTCAGACCTGTTTGTCATGGGAGTTCTTGCCAGTAGTCATAGGCTACAGACAATATAACTCAGAGGGTCCTCAACACCCACAAGCCTCTACACTGTCTTGGTAGAGGGGAACAAGGTGAATTGTGAACTATACTGAACAAAAATATAAACGCAACATGCAACAATTTCAAAGATTTTACTGAGTTACAGTTCATCTAAGGAAATCAGTCAATTGAAATAAATTAATTAGGCCATTTCACATGACTGGGCAGGGGTGCATCCATGGGTGGGCCTGGGAGGTCATAGGCACACTTGGCAGCCAGGCCCAGCCCCCTCAGACGATCCCGCAGGTGAAGAAGCTGGATGTGGAGGTCCTGGGCTGGCATGGTTACATGTGGTCTACGGTTGTGAGGCCGGTTGGACGTACTGCCAAATTCTTTAAAATGACGTTGGAGACAATTTATGGTAGAGAAATCAACATTCAATTCTCTGGCAACAGCTCTGGTGGACATTCCTGCAGTCATCATGCCAATTACACGCT